GTCCCCTTCGGCACCGGTCGACGGGTCTGAGCCGTAATCACTGCACCGGCCGTACGGAGAGGGCAACAGTCGGCGCATAGTCTGAGTGACGGCAAGAGTGTGGTTAACGGCCGACAGTCGCGGTTCGGCGCTAAACAGGCGCTCAAAGTCCACAACCGATTGGTAGTAAAGTAATACATACTTCGGGTCCGCATTGAGCGCATCACTCCAGCGACGAATGGCCGCAAACTGCCGAACGTTGTTGTTTGCCACGCGACCGATGGCCAGCCATCGCCGATCGGATAGTAAGCTAACCATAATATATCGAAATGGTTTGAATTTATACATTATATGGCGTTTCATGGATCGTATATCAACGCCCGGCCACTGGTTGTCGTCGATGGCTATACGGGTCTCAGCCTTGGCGTCAAAATTAGTGTAATTAAATAGCGGACAGTCGTTATATACTGGCGCGCATTGCGGCGATTCCGGTGACCGTAAACAACGCCTGTCTTTACCCTTTTCGTTCAATGCGTACGAAACATAGACGAGGGTTATGTGCGGTAAATGTGTGTCTAATGAATTGTCCATTACGTCAAATACGGTAATCGTTTTGTACGCAAAATAGTCGACCGACACGTCGTATAATTGGTAACCAAGTATTGCCGCCAATAGGCATACAAATAGGCGCTAAATTATTAACCAAAAATTAGCATACATAATTTTGTTTATGTTATTTCAACAACCTTGCTCCCCCTTATTATTTTGGAAATTAATATAGAATTACAGCTAATGTCTATGACTATACTTTAATATGAGACTATATACTGTACAAAGCTTTTCTGTGGTAATATTAAATCTATGGTTAATGTTAAGTCTATGGTAATTTTATAGATATGTTAATACTATGGGTCCCAACTGTATAATAGATCAGTCAATACATAGTTTTCAATATAGTTTTGGATGTGTTTATTAAATACAATATCTTTAAACACGTGTTCATAGCATAGAGTGACCGCTGGTATGGATTCAATGGGTATAGTATTTGTTGAACTGTTTTTTAATTCAATTAATTCAAGTGTCGTTTGTGTGGGAAATGAGAAGTAATCATAAGTTAATGAATAGATTTGATAAACAATTATAGGTATTGTTATAATTGATACAATTCTACGCCAATTATACGCTTCCAGTTGTGATAGCAATTGCTTAATACGATTGTATATCAATTGAGATATATTTATAAAATTTTGATTAATAATTGATAAAATTATACGTTTAATATGAGATAATAGTAATGCAATCAAAACACTGGTGTCTATGAACGCCACCCCAAACCACAGCCCAAACAGACCCCCGATGTCTGACATATACATAACAAATGGATATTTCTTATTACTTGTATAATGAAATTCTTGATACGGTTTGTATTTAATTCTGAGTACACTATCTGTGAGTCCCATAAACTCTGTTTTATCCAACTCTAAAGTGTGGTAAATAGGATGGCAATCCTTAACACAAACTTCACTACATTTCTTGTTATTAGCGATTGATTTGTTGAAAACAATAGAATTATTACAGAATTCATACTCTATTTGTCTCGCATTCCGAAGAATAAAATTCGGATTCAAATATGGATTTGATATACATTTGTGTAATTTGTTGTACACTCTGTACATACAATTCCAGTAACATTTGGTATACGAATCTGTTTTATATTTATTCATAAATAAAAATAATGTAAATCCAATATAAATTATTTTTTATAAATAATTAAATTGCTAAACATTTACCTGAATTGTGTCGACAATATTGCATATAAGGTGTGGACAATTGGTTAACATAAGTGTTGTATATATTAATCCTCGCATTAATGCCAACACTCGGTATCTTAAGTGCTGTTCCCTTCGTTGCCATTAAATCGCTAGACATTTGGTCCACGAATACATATAATACCAGATATTCATTAAATGTTTTTAAATTACCAATACGTTTACCATTACTGAAATATTTATTAGTAAAGTCAATGTCTAAATGAGTGTCAGTTAAGAGAAATTGTTGTTGTTTTTCATAAGAGATGCGAAACTCAACGAAATGGTCGTCAATGAGAGAGAAGTGATTAGTATTTCCGTCGTTTGAGAAGTACTTAAAACAAACGCCAAAGTCTTTCGTACCGTAAATACTGTGCAAAACAGTGTTGTCATCATTAGAGACACATTTATCGGACACTTTGTACTCATTGTTGTATTTTATGCCCACTTTTGCCGAACAGTTAATCAATTCGTTGCCATNCAGTTAATCAATTCGTTGCCATTAATTGAGAATCGATTGAATAAATCATTGAACGAATAGTTGGCAAACATTTGCGGCAAATATTTATCATAAAAATGATTTAAAAAATAATTTTCAACAAAAGTAGGGTTTCCACAGACATAAGGATATTGTTTATGATTGTTATTATTACATATTTTATTTGCCATATTTTTTGCTATAAGTTTTACATTTTGTTTCAATGTTTCGTATTCATGCCTTAATCCAAATTCTGTATTAATCCTTGTTTTGTCAAAAAACACATCCCTTTCCGTACAGATAGTAATCTCTGGTAAAAGCAAATCATTGCTCGGCTTTACGTTAACGCTATAGACATTGGGATAACTGAAGAACTCGATAGTTAACTCTATCACCCCATAGGATAACACACAAACACATACAATTTTTGCTGACAATTTGATCAATAATTTTAAATTAATATTATTATTATTAGTTATTATTATATGAATGTATTGAAATAATTGTTGTATTTTTGTTTTAATAATAAAACATATAAATATAAAGTAAACAATTATTTTCTTAAAAATATTAACAAAATTGTATTTGCATATTTTAAAAACGTGATAAGTCTGTTGAACATTCATTATATCATGTATTAATCTACAGTATAGTTCATATGTAGAACATTGAATATAAACAATTAAAGTTCTAGATCAATTTTGTATAAATCCTCAGTTATTATAATGTTAAACGTTAAATTATACATTTACAAAATTGTTACCATGGTTAATTATGTTTTCTAAATATGCCAAACAAATCTCATATTTGTGTAACCCAATTGTGTAAAATAAAAATAACATTTATTTTATCATGATTAAATCTTATAATAATAACAAATATTGCTATAAGCGTTACTATATTTTTGTCATTGTCTCCCCTTTATAAAAATAAACAAAATATAACTTCAATAAAAGTATGTTAATATTAAGTTAACAATAATGAATGTAATTAACAATTTGTAAAAATTTTGAAAATAATTTATAAAATATTTAACAATATTTTATTTATAAAAATTAATGTTTATTTGAAGCACACGGCGCTATACATACAATAAACAGCGCCATAATTAACACGTGCGTTACTATTGGGCACATGTACTGTATAGTAAACATTGTCCGCCGTATCAAAAATTTCCTAAACTGCGAATACCGGCCGGCGATGACATACCGGTGCTCTCAATGTGGGTTTGCTCTGCCATTGGCTCACAATCTGAATCAATATATCGGAATTTGTGACCAAGATCTATACAAGATAGGATAACGTGACCGGTATCTATAATGTTACATAAAATTTATATAATTAATAACTATAATTAACAGTTTATAATCAATGTAAATGTGAAAATAATATTGATATAAACTTTACCTTTTTTATCGGCACATGTTTGGCAAATAACACGATTTTTATTACATTCAAGAAAATAATTTAAAAATAGTTTGAATTTGTTTTCAGATATATTTTTAAATAATAACTCGTTTTTCTTGACAATCGGTTCAATCAATAATTGGTTTAATTGTTTTAAAATGACTTCACATTCGGGTCTTAGTCTCCAATCAGTCTTTCCATAACTCTCTGTATATATACTAACACTCATTGATAGCAATAAAGTGTACATTTGAACCAATATAATCTTTAGATTAGGACTATCAATATGGTCCAATTTTAAATCCAATCTAAAAACATAATTTTAATTTTAAATGTAAAGTTATATAAAATGTGTTTCTATAAAAACATACATTCCGTCTCTGATATCGTCGGAATCGAAACCAAATATTTTCGCTCCAATGAGTGCCAGACTATAGACATCTATTAAATGGTTGTATTCAGTGGTCTCTACTTCGGGTGCCATATATCTAGGATTTCCAATATCTGGAGTGTTTCGCCCACTCGTATGTATGTTCTCATCACTAAATACATGCACTTCTTTAGACAAACCGAAGTCACATAACTTTATATATCTTTGATTATTAGAAATCAACACATCATCGGGTTTTAGGCTTCGGTGAATGATATTATTTTTATGCAAATACTCCACACTTTCGACCAATTGTTTGAATATTTCATATGATATATAATATTCAAAATCAGTTATTGATTTCCCAAATAATTGCCTTTTATTTATTAAAACATGTGTTAAATTTCCGGCCAAACAATCCATAAGAATATAGAGACAGTTGTATTGAATCCACGAATAGTAGTATTGAATTACATATTCTGAGCGCAGTTTAATCAAGATTTCCGTTTCATTAAAAATATTTTGTTTCCCTTTTTCTGTTAAAACTTTAAATTAAGTTAACATTAATTAAAATATAATAAAAACAAATAATGATTAGGCAATATCAATTATTACCATTAAATTGGCACATCTTAATTGCATAAATGACATCATTATGTTTAGCTCTCACTTTATAAACGTTACCAAAACCACCGGATCCTAACTTTTCCAACTCTTCATACATTTCTCTGTTATTTACATCGCAATCAGTTTCTAATATAAATATATTATAAATTTAATTACAATATAATTATACACATATAATAAAATACTTTAATGTTTAATTATTAGATTTAATTACCATAATGTTGTGTCGTGTTAACTTCTTGAACACAATTAATATGTTCAATGATATCAATGGTTTTATAAGTTCTTTGGTATTCATTAGCGAAGTAATCATTAAATGTTGTATATTTTGTCTCAATAAATACACTTTTTTGTTCATTAAATTTATACACTTTTGTACCACTTATTCCAACGATAATATCGGCTAAACTTAAGTTAAAATGAACAAGATCACTAAACAATATGTTGGTAATCATAATCATAGTCTCCTTAATCAATTGGTATTTGTAAACATGTTTATCATTGGATAAAATAATAATTTCGTCCTTAAATTCATAACAAATGCTTTTTATATTATTCACATTTTGTAACAATTTTGGGACAATTGGTGTCTTATTGACCATCATTTCCCACATAAACACCTCTCCATTGTATGTAATGCCAAATGACTTCCAAAAGCATAAAATGTTCACAATTTTGTAGTCAATGGGAAATTGTATTTCAATTGGTTTTTGTGTTTCAAGAAAACTATATCTCCATTGAAATACCCGTCCATCAGATGTTAGAGCAATGGCTGTGTTTCCAAAACATGATATTTTCTCAATACGTATATCATTTGAATTACATAATAATATTTTATGCAGTTTATTATACGTGTCTTCTATGGGAGACTTATATACTCCCCTACCGTATAGCCGGTGATCGCTGCTCCCTATGCGACGCTCATTTCTACCCCATTCATATATCTGTCTATTGCTATTAGCCAATACAAAGTTCGATCCAATGACAAACTGCCGTATATTTTGATAACTTAATTGTGGCACTTCTTGTGGTGTATGTATGGGTCGGTTGTGTCCCAAACCCAACACTCCCTCACTATTACTGCCCAACCCATAGACCCGATCATCAGTTGTCACAAACAATATGTTTTCTTTAAAAATATTGTCAATGAAAACATGAAACAATTTGATTTGTTTTTGAAAATGTTGTGCCATTTGTGTCGTAACTTTAAACTTATTTAACAATACACTCTTATTAACGTTGAGAAAATAATTGTAAAATATTGAAAATTTGCATTTTTCAATTTTAGGAATATTAAATAACAAGTAAGTTGTTTTGGGAATCGATAAATGCATTAATTGATGTAAAATCACTTCACATTCGGGTCTTTGTCTCCAATCCGTCGATCCATTCGTTGACCACTTATTAGCACTCATTTCAACCAATAATTGGTTAATTTTTTGCAAATAATATTCCAGAATATTATTATTGATTTTTAAACTGACATCCAATCTAGAAATATAAACAATATTTTTGATTATAAAATTATTTTTAATTAAAATTATATCATGATTGTAAATGTTATTTATTAAAATAACATACTTTCCGTTTTGAATATCCTTTGTATTAAAACCAAATATTTTCGCTCCAATGAGTGCCAGACTATAGACATCTATTAAATGGTTGTATTCAGTGGTCTGTCCTTCGGGTGCCATATATTCAATATCTCCGACATCTTTGGTGTGTTTAACACTACTTTGTTTGTATCGATCATTCAATACATCTACGGATTTAGCCAATCCGAAGTCGCATAACTTTATATATCTATTATTTTTATCAGGATTATTGTCAATTAATACATTATCGGGGTGGAGGTCTCTGTGAATGATATTGTTTTTATGCAAATACTCCACACTTTCGACCAATTGTTTGAATATTTCATATGATATATAATATTCAAATTCAGTCATTATTTTTCCAAATAATTGTCTCTTATCTTCCAGTAATTGTGTTAAATTTCCGGCCAAACAATCCATTTGAATGTATAAACAGTTATTTTCAATCCATGAATAGTAGTATTGAATGACATATTCTGAGCGCAATTTTATCAGATTCTCACTTTCCTTCAAAATATTTTGTTTGTCCTTTTCTGTCAAATCTTATATTGAATTAAAATTTTATTCAAAAGTACATTATAAATAAATTAAAATAAAATCTATTACAATTTAATGGACATTTCTTAATCGCATATATCTTTTCATTGTGTTTATCCCTCACTTTAAACACATGTGAAAAACTACCGGATCCTAACATTTCCAATATGTCAAACATTTCAATATTTTTGAATTCTAAATAAATATTTAATATTTATTAATATATAATAAAAATCATAAAAATTTATTAATGTATTTATGAAAGATATATTACCATGGTGTTGATTTGAATAGCTCGATTCACTGATATTTTTATCCAGATTTACCGGTTGGTCATTGATTTGAGTAAATCTATAAAATATTGTTTTAGAAAGCTATATAAAATAATATACTATTGATTGTAGGATAGAGATAATTAAAATAAATTAACATTGGTTGTTGTTTAATCCGTGAGTTCACATTAGAGTTTATATCGTTATAATCTTTATTAAAAATCTCATTTAATTCATTTATTATATCCTTTAAATCATTAATATTTCCTTTCGATCCTTTAAGTAATTCGTTAATAAATGTTTGGATTTGATCGACATTTACACCAAAAGTGTCCAAAATATATGACTTGTTAGTAAACATTTTCGAAGTATTTCTATCGATTTCAGTCAATCTATAAATAATTTGTAATCAATAATTATTATTTAGTATAATTAATCAAAATTAATGCATGTTTATACTTTATGTTCTCTAATAGTAAGTGAAACAACTTGTCAACAATTTCACCGAATTCAAACAACTTGGTATCATTTAAAATGGTAGTATTCGTGTTAAATAGATCTTTATAATCATTACAGTATAACACCATATAGTCGTTACAATTAACATTCACTTTCTCTCTTAAGAATATCTGTTTTGCATTAAGAGATATATTTGTGATATTAATACCCAAATCGATCAAACTTTTAATACAGTGTAATAAATGTCTTAACAATAGCTCTGAATATAAGAAGTCAATTGAAATCATTTCTGATGAGTCAAGTTTTTTTGTCCCGTATATCACGTGTTTATTAATGATGACATCCCATAGAGTTTGCGAACAAAACTCCATTTCAATGTAAATCTCATTGTTTTCAAACCAAGAGTTATAGAATTGAAGCAAATATTGAGGTTTTATTTCAATTATTTTTCTAATATTTGCTACAATTTGCTTCATATTTTCGTTATCTATTAAATAAAAATTAAATAAAATATTAATTGTTTGCACGAAAGTTCTTATAATTACAATAACAGTTAAATTGTTTAACTGGTTTATTGAAGCTAGTTATTTAAACATGTAATACTTACAGTCATGTTTAGATTTACTGATGTAATAGTATTTGTTGTTTATAATATTTTTGACCTTATCAAAATTATTAAAATTGAATACATTATCTAATGTATCAAGCTGATTGCCATAAGCTGTTGCAACAGTACCAATGGCTATAATAGTCAGAAATTAATTATCGAATTAATAATAGTATTGCAAATAATTTACTTACCATTATTTTCATCAGATGTTTGATAAATAACACCAAATGTATGGCAATCGCGAAAATACTTGTAAAATAAATTGAATTTACTTTCAGTTATATTTATAAATAAATCATTTTTCTCGACAATCGGTTGAATTGATAACTCATTTAGTTTATGTAAAATGACTTTACATTCGGGTCTTAGTCTCCAATCAGTATTTCTATCACGTTCTGTGTATTCACCAAATTTGAGTTCTCGTGAAAATTTGCTGCAATTATAATAATATATTTATATATTATAAATAATAAATATTATTCTAAACCATACACAATTACTATGTTTAAAATGTTTTGTATTGCTTACCTCTGATATAAACTAACACTCATGGATAGTAATAGTCCGTATATTTCTGTCAATTTATTTTTGAGATTTAAATTAATAATAGTTTTGAGATTCACATCAAACCTAAAAATGTAATTACATTTTATAATTAGTATATTATTTAATAAGTTATTAATAATAACATACACTCCGTCTCTGATATCGTCGGAATCGAAACCAAATATTTTCGCTCCAATGAGTGCCAGACTATAGACATCTATTAAATGGTTGTATTCAGTGGTCTGTCCTTCGGGTGCCTGATATTGAATATCTCCGACATCTTTGGTGTGTTTAACACTACTTTGTTTGTATCGATCACTCAATACATCCATTTCTTTAGACAAACCGAAGTCACATAACTTTATATATCTATCATTTGTATCAATATTGTTGTCAATCAACACATTATCGGGTTTGAGGTCTCTGTGAATGACATTATTTTTATGCAAATACTTCACACTTTTGACCAATTGTTTGAATAAATCATATGATATGTAATATTCAAAATCAGTCATTAATTTTAGATTTTTATTAGAAAATAACCGTTTTTTATTTTCTAATAATTGCGTTAAATTTCCGGCCATACAATCCATAAGAATATATAAATACTTGTCATTAATCCACGAATTATAATATTGAACGACATATTCTGAGCGCAATTTTATCAAGTTTTGCGTTTCACGCAAAATATTTTGTTTATTGTTTTCAGACAATTTTAATAAGACTTCTGTTTCAATCAAAATGTATTGTTTCTGTCTATCTGTCAAACCTGTAATATAATAGTAATTTATAAATTTATAAAATATTTATCATAATTAAACTTTATAATATAAAATGTTTGTCTACCATATAATTTGCATTTCTTTAGGGCATATACTTTATCCGTGTGTTTATCTCTAGCCTTAAACACCTTTCCATAACAACCCGTTCCTAACTTTTCCAATATTTCATAATTTGTTAAATCAATTATTTCGTGCTTGGTCACTAAAATAAATGATAATTATTATTATAAGTTTAGGCATGTATTTATCTTACCAAGATCTTGTTTTGGTGTTATTGGTCGCACGTAATGATCATGTTTAGCGATATCAATAGTTTTATACGTCAATTGGTATTCATTGGCAAAGAACTCATCAAATGTTTTGCATTCAGTTTCAATATATTTAGTAAACTTAAAATAATAAACTTTTTCGCCACTAATGCCAGCGATAGTATTCTCATCAGGCAAATTAATTTGCCCTAGATCATTAAATGCTATATTACCAATGCGATCCAGTTTTTGAACAAAGATATTGTACATATAAACGTGTTTATCATTTAGAAACATGATCAAATCGTAATCATTTATCGCACATATTTTGTCAATGTCAATTAGTTTTGAGATTAATAATGGTGATTTTACTTTTCCCCACATAAACACACGTTTATCGGATGTAATGGCAAATGACAGCTCATCTGAGCATAAAATGTCCAGAATTTTATATTCTTTGGGAAATTTTATTTCAATTGGTTTTTCTGTTTCTAATGAATGATATATCCATTCAAATACCAGTCCGTCGGATGTCAGGGCAATAGCTGTGTCTCCAAAACATGATATTTTCTCAATACATATATCATGTGAATTGCATAATAATATGTTGTGAGGTTTAGTATAAGTGTCTCCATTGGGAGACTTATTTAAACCCCAGCCGTATATCTGGTGATCGCTATTCAAAGCCAATACAAAGTCTATTCCAATGAAAAAGTGTTGTATATTTTGATCACTTAGTTCTGGAACTTCTTTAGGTTCTTCGGGCGTATGTATGGGTCGGTTGTGTCCCAAACCCAACACTCCCTCACTATTACTGCCCAACCCATAGACCCGATCATCGGTTGTCACAAACAATATGTTTTTCCCATTTGAGTGGTCATTGAAAACATGAAATAATTTGATGTTTTCCTTCAGATTGTGAGGAATTGCGGCACAAATTTTAAACTTATTTAATATCTCTGACATAATTAAAATTAATAATTATTTCATAAAATAATATAAATTATTACATTTTCATTTATAAAATATAAAGTTCATAACTCATTGCTACAATTACATTGTTATCCATGTAATAAGTGCGAGACATATCATGTTATTATATTCAATAATTAACTGTTATATTAGCCTAATTATTGCAATTACAAACAGGTAATGCGTATTATAAACTTATATTAATAAGCTAAATATTATGCTGAATATAAGTAATAACAGGGTTATTTTTTATAAACACTTACAAAACACACTATAAATGAAATTCATTTATAAAAGCGATAAAATCAATGACGTATTCATTATGTTATTCGCATTAAAATATAAATAACTGTTTATTTAAGCAAACTTATGATTTTTAATATCTTTTAAATATTCAAGGTTTAATTAATAGTTTAGTTTTTAATTTCTTATAATAATTTATTTTGAATAAAAGTGTTGGCATTGAATTTACTGATTAAATATGATAAGTTGGCATAAGTTTATAAAACAAAAGTTGGTATTTATTTCTTAAATATCATATCAAGCAATATCTTAAATATACAGGAATTATATTTTTTAGCCTATTAATCATATACTGTACATGTACATATTTATAAATCACTTATACAGTATATAATAATATTCATTATATTTTATAATCATATTCCAGTATTTATATAACATTTTAATTAAAATAGAGTTTATTTATATAATTGTAGTAATTTGTAATTCTATGAATTATTAAATAATTAAGTTATAAACTAACAATAATTTATATAATTGTTTGATAATATTAATATTAGCTATTTTATATTATTTATATTAATTATTATTTTAATTTAGTTATATAATTAAGTGCTATAAAAAATGTTTAGAATGTTAAATAAGTTTGATATTTGTGGATATGTTTCTCCAGATATTAAACGAAACATCAAATTATTTCATATTTTTGACGACTTTTTGGGGAAAAACATATTGTATGTGACATTTGATGATCGGGTCTATGGGTTGGGCAGTAATAGTGAGGGAGTGTTGGGTTTGGGACACAACCGACCCATACATACGCCCACAGAAGTGCCACAATTAAGTAATCAAAATATTCAACAGTTTTATAATGGAATAAACTTTGTGCTGGCTAAAAGCAGCAATAATTGCATTTTTGACTGGGGTGTAAAATACTATAAACATTATACATATTACGACATACCACAGATAAAATTATTACCTAATTCACATGATATACCTGTTAAGAAAATATCATGCAATCAGTACACAGTTTTAGCGCTTACAAAAACAAACAAGGTATTCCAGTGGGAATATAATAAGGTGGAAGGCATCATGTTACCATGGTACATGGTACCAATTGAAGTAAACATACCTGATACATTTACAATTATGGACATTATTTCTACGGATGGACTTTCATTTGGTATTACATCCAATGGAAAGCTGTTTATGTGGGCAGGTGTGGAAATATTAATACGTACAAATAAACCGCAACTATTGCCTGTCGTGACTGATCCAGGTCATAAGATAATCAATATAGCATTATCTAGATTTATTAATGAATTGATCATGGTGACAAATAAAAAAATTATTTATACATTCAATGTATCTAGTAAAAACATTGCGCTGACTCATAGGCTACAGTTTAACGATCTAGGTAGAATGAGTTCCCATTATTTACTAGTAGACACAAACACTGTCAGCGATATATTAGCAAAACGAGTGTATAATGTACATTATTTTAATAATTTATATAACGATTGGTTTGTAACAAACCATAAGACGTTTGCTAATTATTATTGCAAGCAATTACAAATTACTTATAATAGTATTGTCATTAATGTGGAACAGGCAATAACAAATAACGATTATGGTAAGAAATATTACTACAATTAAATAAAGTAATGTTATGAATGTTTATTTTAGTTCACAATGAAATGAACCTAGAGACAATGTATGAATATCATGGTGAATTAGGAGATGGTATGTATGGGGTTGTAGTCAAATACAAAGATAAACATAATCGTCGAATGTATGCAATTAAAACGTGCAAGATTTACGGTATTAATATATTCTAGTTAATTATTCTTATAATTAACAATTTATAATTTTCTAATTATATTAAGATGATGCTATTTTGGACGAATTAAATATTATGGTAAAATTGCGCTCAGAATATGTAGTTTTGTATTATTATGCATGGCAGGAAACAAATAAATCAAACCAGGTTCTTTTTCACATCAAAATGGATTGTTTGGCCGGAAATTTAACACAACTTTTAGTTAATAAGAAACAGTTATTTGGGACTATAATGACTGAATTTGAATATTATATATCATATGAAATATTCAAACAATTGGTCGAAAGTGTGGAGTATTTGCATAAAAATAATATCATTCACAGAGACCTCAATCCCAAGAATGTGTTGATTGACAACAAATTTGATGGGAAAAACAGATGCATAAAGTTATGTGATTTTGGTTTATCTAATAAATTTGTTGCATGTACTCAAAATGGTAGAACATCACCAAATTCTAAGCTTAGTGATGATTATACGGCACCCGAGGCAGAGACCCCTAATTATAACCATTTAATAGATGTCTATAGTCTGGCAATCATTGGAGCAGAAATTTTTGGCTTTTATACCACAGATGTTAGAGACGGAGAGTATGTTATTATACAATGTAAAAATTTAATTAACTAATTAAATTATAAGATCCTTATTTACAAACTACAAAGTAAGTGTATAGTTAAATATCTAGGTAAAAATTAACCGTATGGTCAGTGATAATTGTTAATTAACAAACCCGAAAATAAATTATTAATTTCAAACATGCACACCAATCTAACACAAAACCCAACCTGTATTGACATTGATATCTTATATCACCTTATATCATCTATATTGAGATAATATATTTACACTGTTATATTCACATATTTTGTGTTAAAATTATAAACATTCATTATAATATTAACTATACAAGATTATTTTACATTTATCCATTAGGGACTACCATTATAATTACGGTCACCTCGATGAAAGGATGACGGGCATCTACCGTTTGCTAAATCTAATAAGCATTAATAGTCGTAATCACATGTATTGGGGTCTAAGACCCGATTGTATTAATATTTTGGATCTATTAAGCAATCTGTCAATTGACCCGATTGTCGAGGAAATTGATTTACCTATTGGATTCTTTCCAACCAGATTTAATCTATTTTACGAATATTATATAAAATTATTTGCATTTTAGATAATTGCAAAAACACGGATAATACACATGGTAAATCAACAGCTGAAATTTTTATTATCTTTCTATCATTATATTTATTAAAATATACTGTATATTATGTATGATATAATTTTTACTTAAATTCACCTGTATTAATTTTATTTAGAAAACACACTCTCAACAAAAACTTGATATTTGGTGAAAATGCAAACCAAATAAACGCTAATATAATCTCACGGATGAAAAGTGCAATTCTGTGGCGAATCCCTATATTTCACGCAAAATCAATTAATTAGTTATAAGTTTATTATTAATATAATTAACAAAATTCACGATTACAAAATAATTATCAAAATAATATATTAATAAATAATACATAAATAACAAATCACTAGCATATAAAACATCATTATTAATTTCATTTTATAAACTAAAAAATATTGAGCTATTGTAATAATGTCACTAGATATCCACTAGGTCACTGGATAATATATATTATATTAACTTAGTATTTATTTAAATAAAAGTAATCACTAATTATTATTTATTATAAAAATTGCGTTCATTAATTAAAACCAATTCCCATTACATGTAATAATTAAGCATAATTAAATTACAGTATTATATTCTAAATGTGTTGTACATTCACATGTAAATTACATGTAATTAAATAAATCATAATAAAGCAAATAATATTGTAAGAAAAATTTTATAAAGTATTATTATAAGAAAATTAATAGAATATTATAAATTTAATTGAAAATTGTCAAGTTTGCAAATTACATTTTTAACCACAATTTAAATACAAAAAATGTGGTTTATATAATCGTTGGCCCCAATTATGGGCGAACATTATGGAATGTTTTCTTTTTCACCTCATTAGAATCACTGTCGATATATATACCAGGATTAAAATAAATATCTTGGTCAACGCCGAACATTCTTATTTCAGGCTTCTGATTAAAGGTGTAATCTTGTTTTACTCGTTTAATTGTCTAAAATAGAACATGTTGCATTACTTTATATAGGTAAAATATTTATATCTAGTATGTTACTTTATCAAAACGTTAAGTTAAATGATATTTTCAAATGTAATATTTAATGGTAACCAAAATATGTATTTTTGCATATAACAAACCTTAAGGAGCAACTGATACAGGCTTTTGTACCACGAGTACTGCGCTATGGTATGGCTCAATGCCTGACCGAATACATTCACGTGACCAATGAGACCGTTGACCGGGTAGAACCATTCGTTTAATCCTGGTGAAACATAATTATTATGTTCAGTATTAATTAAGAACATTAAAATTATCTTATTTTTTATATAAATATTTTTAATTTTGTATTAGATTTAATGTTCAGGAATAAAAAGTGTATTGTTCAATCAATAGGCATTTAAAATCATAATACAGTATGATATGGTTACACTAATATAGGATCGGGGTACTATTTATATATTAAAATTAAATACTATATGACGATAATTGCAAATATGTATAACAGAAATAATGTATGACAAATTGGCAAGTTTAAAAAATAATCATTACTAACTACTCTATAACTGTGCAAATAGTGTACATGTATATGCATGAAATATTATATCTAATTTAATTAAATATAATTAAGTACCATAGTCGTATTTACTTACCTTCCGCGCACGAATAAATGACGTAGGTCTTTTCATTTTGGTTTACAAAATTTTGTCTAAACGGCTGGGGTGTATTGATAGAAACTGACTCACAGTTTGTACATGATAAGGGTTCAGAGCATGTTTGGCAAGGCTCATTTTTGCCGCGATATTTAACCACCACTTTTTCGGGATATTCTGTAAATTTTAAATAGCATGTATTAATATTAAAATAATATAGTTAATCACAATAACCCCCCTATTATATGAATATATTTAAACAACAATTCAATATGAAAATTGTAATTTATGGAATTATTCTAATACACTTATTATACCCATACATAGTTTACTTCGCAATAAATTTAATATGTCCAATTGGATAAAATTAACTATTTAAAATTTATGTTAAAGATTAATAAGCCTATAGACTTAATACATGGGACAGCTAGATAATCAAGGGACCTGCCTAGGGGAGGAGGCTTAGAGTAAAGAAGAAAGAGGGAGGGGAGGGGAGAGAGAGAGAGAGAGAGGGATAAAGAGAGAGAGACTCTCTCGATTGCTTACAGTGCGATCACATAAGCCACATTATATTGAATTGTTGGTTAATTTAAAAAAAATAAAATAAATATTGTTATACTGTCGCGGCAGCAGTCAAAAATAAACATCTTGGGCTTATTGATCAACGCCCGGCAACTATTTTCATCAAACTTAGCCACAATATCTGAAATTCGTTCCCTATTTCCACACTGGCCACCAATCATCTCCTCTTTACCATGCCCGATAAACATCATGACAAACGCGTCACCATGGTAATCCCTGGCTGGCTTGTTAGCTAGCTCGTTAATTTTGGCATTAATCAAATCAATGGTTGCATTATGGTACACCACCGCGTTGAATAGCAATTGTTGAAAAATTGACCCAAATCGTTTAGCCAGTTTATCCAACTCGGGTATTGTTACGAATATCCACGCCTCACCACGTGGGTCTGAATCCATTTTCTGTTCCCCAGTCGTGTGCGTACGCATTGAACGCGCGAATTGCACATTAAGGTAAATGTTTGACGAATTGGTCATAGGTGGTTCAGACAGATTGAACCTGCGCAATTCTGCGGCCGCCATTCGGTTAGCCTCGTTGTCCGACTCTTGCAACATTTTGGCCAGTTGTTTGCAATTGTCTCTGACCAAGGTGAATTCGCCGAATATGCGACATTTTTGGGCCATATCGTTGTTAAATAACTGTGTAGATTAAACTCGTTAAAACTGTTAATTAACCATTTTATGTATACAATTATTAAATAGATATTTTATTTTTTTAAATATTCACAATTAGTGTAATGACTCATTACTAATGAGTCATAATTTTTTGATCACATGCTATTAAATACTGACCTTTATGTCACCCATTAAATGTTCAAACGCATAATGATTTTCGAGCGCGTGCATAAAATGCTCGTTAAGCACAATGGGTTTAACAAAATTGTAAAACCCCTTATTGAACCTAGTCCTCGGTTCTTCTTGGTCCACCATTTTGGTATAAAATAGTATTTATAGCCTAAAATACAAAACACTAATTAGTCATGTTATGTTTAAAAAATAACAGTATTTTAATATTAATATACTCTATATAAATAATAAACGCGATGATTTTGTTATGTATTAGTATTTATAACAATTATTAATTATTTAATAATTTTAGTAAAATAAGTTACTTGTAAAACGTATTTATAACGACATTAAAAATGTGATAAATATATTTTTCAATACAGGGTTTGGTTTTTAGAGATAAACACAAAATGAATGGTAATTTGCATGCATTTCATGAGAACCAGTATATAAGTAAATATAAAACCCGATGATAAAAATGTGAATACGAGCCAAAATAAATTTGATAAATAATTTGATAAGCACACAAAAAATTGTTATGTATAATATTTTCTTAAACTCTTGCATTTTTATTTAAATTACGTGATAATTAGTAAACTGTACATACCATTGCCATTACCAAAAGTAACTATTAATACTTTAAAAAGCAACATTTTTAATTTATGCTATTTTATCATTCAAATGACATTTTTATTTTTTGTATCTAACTTATTTTCATAAACTATATAAATATTTTAAAATGTATTTATTTTATTAATTATATATATTATAAATATTATTTTATTTTAAAACTCTTATTATACATTATAATTAATTATAAATATTTAATATAATATTGATTACAAATTGAAAATATTGAAATTACAAATAATAACTTAATATAATTAAAAGCAATTCTAATTTACTTTCTTATTACTTATTGTTAAATTCATCACGGTGCTTAATTTTGACCAACATGCGTTTTACACTTGCTATTTGAATTAGCGGATTAAAATAATCCATCTCCTATTATAAATACAAATAAATATTACAATTAATTCAAATTTATAAACATTAAATATAAACAAATTAAACTAACCTTGGTCTCATCGCACGGCACAAACTCATACCTACACAACAGCTTAACTAACGTATACTTGAGCTCTAATATCGCAAAACGCAAACCAATGCAATTGCGCGGACCGGTGGAGAAGGGTAGGTATGTATACGGTTTGATATCATCTAGATTGTCTGGTAGAAAACGCTCCGGCTTAAACTCTAAAGGGTCCGTAAAGTTATCAGGGTCTAAATGAAGTGCCCAAATGGGTATTATAATAGGAGTGCCTTTAGGCAAATGAATGCCCTCTAAATGGGTGTCAATAGTCGGGTGTCTTTCAATTCTGTATATTGAATAAATAGTTTAATCATTTATAACACATGTGGCGACACTACATACCGGGTGATCGAGCAGTTAACTCGCATCACTTCTTTGATGAATGCGTCCAAAAATGGCATTTTTTGTAACTTTTCGTAATCCATAGACAACTCATTGGTATCCTTAGTATACAGTGTGTTATGAATCTCGTGAATCAGTTTTGTTTGATACCGGGGTTTGAGCGCAAGTATGCGAGTAATGAGACACAACTGCGAGGCTGTAGTCTCGTGTCCGGCGGCCAACATGTTAATTGCCTGACCAATCACTTCTACCTTGGTTAATTCTGATCACAATTAATTATAAATTATTACTCAACCTAGATTAAAATAAAATATTTATTTTATACATACTATCAAATGACTTGTTAGTATTGGCGGGAGGGTTAGGATAACTATCGGCCCATACGCTGGCGTTTACCGAGTGCTGTAACAGATCGGGCACCTGTACATCCCTGGCCACTCGTTCACTCACCACGTGATCCACGCTATCAATAATTATTTGCATTTTGTGGCGATCAAAAAACGGTATATCAATGAATCGCCTTATAAATGGCATGTAATACACGAGCCAATCGTTAAGACCTTGATCAATTTGAAACATTGTTTTAACCGAGGTAAACAGTGGATTATTCTTGGGGTGACCCAGGGCGTTTGCGTCAGCGCCGGCCACAGCCCTAGTAATCACATCGAAAGCAAATGAGTCGTAAACTATACGAAAGTCCACCACTCGGGTCCAATAGAGTGGCCAACCGTTCAAACGTGTCCGACATTATCGGTAGCATAGCTTTGAGTCGACCGGTGGTGAAGGCTGTGGAGTGCAGCGCACTGATACGCTTCCATTGACGGTATCGGCAGAAAAATAATCCATTGCTTATGGGTTCCGAGTATGATGCAAGTGCCTTGGTGATTTATTGTTTATTAATTTAATTACTAAAAATTTTAATTTACTTTCCAGCATTGTACAAATAAAGTTTGTTTATATTCGAAACATATAACTTACGAAATAAAATGTACAAATAAAGTTTCTTTATATTCTCTTATTAATATTGAAATCTGTTTTAACTACTCTAGCTAAAAGTTATTATTACAAATGTTTAATATTATTTGCATTAAAACATACCCTGTGTTCAGCAAATTTATGAAATTCAGTGACAAGTATTTTACGTATGAGATTGGGATCAGTTATGGATAAACATGGTCTTAATCCCTCGTAAAAGCTTATAATAAAATATAAATTTTTCATATATTTTAAACATAATTTATAAATTGTTAGTAACTTTTCAAATACCCGACAATTTTGCCGTATTTTCTGTGGCAGTCGTTGTCAGCGATATGAAAGGGTTGACCACTTCTGACCGACCAGTCGGTCGGTATTCCCCGGCGTTTCCAAAATGTCCACTTTTGCCACAATAGGGCTATTGTTAACACGATTGGTGATAGTATAAACAACACAACTACAAACATAATTATTTAAATATCTATGTAATTACTTGGCATTATATTTTAAAATGTAATTGTAATTACTCAAACTTACTTGTTAGTGATTTATATATAAATTTTATTTATGTACTGTCATGCATTTATTATCTTAATCAGTTTATATTAACATTAACCAGTTGAGCTATTTTACAAGTTGTTTTTATGTTTTTGTGTTTATTAAACAAAACATTATCAAATATTCATATAAACTAAATTAACCTCTACTTAATATAAAAATAGGTTTATTAATTTTACTTGAATTTATTAATATTTAAAATTATTTAATCTTATCATATTAATTAATTAAGTGACATGTATTTTAGATGATTATGCTATTTATTCTATAAAAACAGATTAACAATTCTGCGTTTTAAGCTTTTTGATGCTAATTTTTAATTTTCCATATAATGATTAAATAGGGTAAAAATATTTTGTTCAATTTATGAATTTATTATATTGAATGTTAATATTAACCAGTTGAAATATTAGCGACTTTGTTTTTAAATGTCTTTTTTGAATTAAATTTGAATTAAAAAATAATTTAATATTTATATAAACACTAAGTAAATTGAATGTCTGTTTAACAGTAAAAAGTAGTTATGTAATATTATATTTGTATTTTAAAGTTCATTTATTTTTATAAATATTTTTATTGCAATAAATATACAGAATGTTATATTTAAATTAAAAATTATGTTAAGCGGTGAAACATAATTTACACAACACTATCGGCAATCCAGTTTGGCTACGCCTCCCCATCCTATAAGAATTAACATGGAGCCCCATCTTAATCCTATTGCTATATTTTAACAAGGTGACACTCTCGTAGGTTAAACATTGGGACGCTTTAACGTGGGTTTATATAGGATTACAGCTTAAGTCTATATCATCGGATTAACATGGGTATGTCTATGGTAATGCTAATCCTATGGGGGACTTTTGGGTGAAGTTTTTGCGAGAGACAAGTGCGACCCCAAACAAGCGGATCAGGTGTATGGCCTGTTCCACACTTTCGTGAAGCTGGACGTGTCGTGCGGTGACTATCCGGACGGCACCGACAAATGCCGTGGTTTTCCCGTTTGGCTCGTTGTGGCCGTAGTGTTGGTCGGAGTGGCGCTGTTGGCCGCCGGTGTCCTCTGCGGCGTCCGTTTCTATGGCAGACACAAAGAGCGTCTCATTAGAAGACAGTTGCCGTCGAGAGCGGCTCAGGAGGTAAGGGAGACATTGAAATCGACGCCCGTTTGATAACAGCTTTATTTTAAGCATTTGTATAAAAGTGTGTAAAAGTGCCATAAGTTTTGATTGCTCTCTAAATTCTTATTTTAATACTTTTTAGACTTATTTTTGTAAAATATTCTAATATCTTAACGACGTTTTATAAATAATTATATTTTTAATAAAACTCACATTTATTGAGATTTTTAAACATTATATTTACTGTCGTCTCAATACTATTTTAGCGATAAATATTAATTATAAGTTTTGCAATCAGGTAAAATTATCATTTATAAAACATCAACTTAAAGTTTTGTAAGTAAAGGTTGCTATTTAAATTATGTTGTTTGTACCTATTTTGGCCATTAATTAATAATATGTTTAGTAACTTACAATAAAATAATCATTATTCTACTATACGTATTAGCGTAATAATAAACGATTTAACCAATATGTTTTAGTTAAAACTTTACATTTTGGAAAAATTTATTTTTTATTATGTAATTATCAATTAAATTGAATTATATTTATTTTTAATACATCAACACTGGTTGTAATAGAAATAAAATATTTCTAGATAAATCTAATTGATAATATTGATAGTCATAATAAGTTTATAATATACTTATAGTTAGTAATACAGTAGTAAATAATGATAGATAAATAATTATTATTGTGGCTGACATTGAATTAGATATAATGTACTGTAAAATATATTGCAAAATAAATAATTGATTCAAAATCATTTGAAATCAATTAAATTAATTGTAAAATAATTATAATTATTTATTTAATCAAAACAACCGCGACAAAATACGTAAGCATCATATTCTAGGCATCATAGTATAATTGGGGCCAATTATGACCATTATCTTATATCTTTAGGCTAGCTATAAGACAAATGCATTAAATAAATAATTAAATTCTCTGAACTATTGCTTTAAATTTTTACACTTATCAATGCATTAATGCTTTGCATAAAACAAATACTAACAACACTTTAATGTTATATTCATCGCGACATAAGTATGACTACAAAAGTGATGAACAACGGGTCGGTCAAAGTTTACCCCAATGGCCACACCAGCGGTACAGGTCATAATACAGCTCCGGTAGTCACACCGGCCTATAAGCCAGTGATTAAGTATAGGAATAGTCATATGGTATGGATGCCTGTCGTGCACTTGTCTGCCATTTATGGCCTGTATCTGGCGGTAACTGTGGCCCAGTTTAAGACCATAATGTTTATGAATGTAATGGCATTTATGGCATCGTTTGGCACTTTGGTAATGCTTATTTAATTTTTGTAATTAATCTGATACATATATTTGTTAAGTGCAAAGTTAAATGCTTATTAACCTAAACAGTTAAAGTTACTTTTATGATTACCTAGAACCTAGATGGTTTTAAAAAGGGATAATGTTAAAATTCAATTAAATTAATAATTAAATTTTTAAGTATTTTTATTATTTCGTTTTTAGTTAGATTTAGAAATTTTATTTTTATCAATTTATTTAATCAATTAAATTCTTGGTATCTAATATTTTAATATTTGGTATTTTAATGTAAAATACAAAAATGTTTTATATAGTTTCTAATTAAGCCTGTAATTTTACAACATTTTTACAACTTTACAGTTTTATCTTAATTAATAATATAAATGTTAATGAATTTTATATGCAAAATTTAGTAATTTAAAATTTTGAATTTCTAAATAACATTGAAAACTCCATAACAATTAAGATCATATTTAAAGCTAAAATATTTAAATTCTAATAATTTTTAAATGCTTAAAACATTAATTTATATTTTAAAAATATTTGCATGTTTATGTAACTTAAATTATTAAATCAATAGTCCCTTTCATACAGCAAACACTAGAAATACATTTATGTTACTTTATATTCATTGAGGTATTAGTTATGAATACAAAAGTGTTTGACATCGGGTCGGTCAAAACGGACCCCAATGGCCAACCCGGCAGTGATAGGGCACCGGTAGTCACACAGGTCTATAAGCCAGTGATTAAGTATAGGAATAGCCATATGGTATGGATGCCAGTCGTACACATGTCCGCCATTTATGGCCTGTATTTGTCGGTAACTGTGGCCCAGTTTAAGACCATTATGTTTATGAATGTAATGGCATTTATGGCATCGTTTGGTACCTTGGTAATTGAGTTTTTGTTATGACAATTTGAGTAATTGTGTTGTACCTAAAAATATATATATTGAATAATACTTTATAATCCTAGAGTATTAACTAAATGATATGTTTTACATAGAATTAATGTTTAAATTCACTTAATACATGCTGCATTTTAGATAAATTTAATAAATATTTCCGTGAATGTAAAAATTATATTATAATTATTTTTAACTTATATAATAATAATTACAAAATGATATATAGTGTATACATTAAAAAACCTTAATCCATACATAGTGTGGGGCCCATAGGCTATGGTCGCACCGGTCATACAAAGCCAAACTCCCGCTACGGATAATACTAATGTCATTGCAAACACTGGCCTTCATAGCGGACATCCGTGAGTGGGCTCGCGATCATCGGCTGCACCACAAACACAGCGACACCGACGCTGACCCACACAACTCCCGCCGGGGTTTTTTCTTTGCCCATATCGGCTGGATTTTCTACCGCAAACACCCCGATGTAATAGCCAAGGGCAAAACCATCGATGTGGCCGACCTCGATGCTGACCCAGTGGTCAGTTTCCAGCACCGGTATTACCTGGTGTTGGTGTTATTCATATGGGGTTTAGGGCCGGCGTATGTGCCCTATTGGTTGTGGTCGGAGTCGTTGTGGTGCTCGTGGTTTGTGGCAGTTATGCTCCGCTACTGTATATCATTGCACACAAGTTTCCTGATTAATGGTGCTGCACATATGTATGGCATGAAGGTATGTTTGGAAAAGTGTCCAGTTCTTTATCGCATCCAGGATGAATTTATAAACTTTTACTATAATTAATATATTAATATTTTTAATGATAAGCCGTACGACAACTCTATAATTCCTGTTGAGGCAAATGTTAGACACTTTATGGTCGGCGAAGGCTTTCATAATTATCACCACACGTTTCCCCAGTATTTATATACTTATAATTAATTTAAAATGTTGTAAATATTTAATTAAATTGCATATAATTTGTTTATAACAGGGATTACTCGGCCTCAGAGATGGGTGCGATTGACTCATTCAACCCGCAGACGGCATTCATAGACATGTTTGCGGCCATCGGTTGGGCCTATGATCTGAAGAAGCCGTCCATCGATAATGTGAAGAGCCGTCGGATCAGATCCGGTGACAATAGTAACCAGATATCCAGATCCCGGCTGTCGGAGCAAATCGTGGGTTTAGTGACAGTATTTATGCCCTTTTTGGCCATAACTATACTCCGGATGAATGCGTTTGTATGGCCTGTAATACCGATTGCATTATATCTGATTGCAAGCCATCCGCACGGCTTTAGCACTAATAAAGTGATTAAAGTTAATGATAATAATAATAATAATTTTAATAATTATTAACACTGCGACAAAATTATTTTAATAACATTATCAAATTACTTAAAATATAGTTATAATTATTATTCTGAATTATTATAATACTGTTTCTGTCTAATATTATACATTCTTATCTTTTTATACATTTTTATATTGATTTTAATAATTGCAATAATTCTAACATAAATTATGTTACATAATACTTTCTACACTGTAATTAATAATTAATATTTAATTTTGGTTTATACTTAAAGGAGCTGTCTAATTTTTAATATTTTTATAACAGTTATTTTACTAATTATTGTTTTAAAATCTCGACTATATATAAAATAAATTTTTAAATAATGTAACTTGATTACTTAATTAAGTTTTATTTTAAATATAGTCCTTTATAATTAAAGTTATATAATTTTGAATACACAAACTTAATAATAATTTAACAATATGGACATAAACCCTATTAAGAAAATGCTTTTGTATTAAATCTATCGTTTCTTATAAATGAGTTATATTGTACTGTATAACTTTGTTTAATTTTAAGATTACATATTGTATCATAATAAATAAATAAATAAATAAAAATTCACTATTATATTAAACTCTATTCTATATTAATATATTAAATATTCTGTACTAGGATTAAGAATAATTCATCTACATGCATTAATAAAGTTTTAAATAACATAAGTCAATATGAACTGCACTTTTCATTGTACTGTATGTTTAAGTTAATAATGCATTAATTATTATATTGCATGTGGAATTAAAGTTTATTTTTATATAGTGATAATTTATTATTCTATCCATTTACATGTAGGTCATTCTTATAATAACGATGTACATTAAATGCATTAAAGCATTAGGTATAGTGACATATCAAATCGATATATTGATTAAAAATTTTATTTCTGCATAACAGTGTGTTTTTAAGACATTTATTTTGAGAAGCTAGTTTAATATTACGTTCACTACGTGTACATTATGTTTATGTATAGCCTATTATATAAGTAAAAATATTTTTAACTCACAATATATTCATTTTAAGTCACTATAAAATTTATTATTTGCATTACTTTTAATATTACTATCACTTTTAGTGTGAATTAATTGTTACATAAGACAAATATGGTTACAGAAGAGGTGGGCAATGGGTGCGATGGCAGTGCACCGGCACCCACACCGGCCCCATATAAGCCTGAGCTAAAGTTTAATAATCGCCACATGATAATTATGCCGGTCATTCACTTGTCGGCCATTTATGGCCTGTATTTAGCGGTAACTGAGGCCCAGTTTATGACCATATTCTATATGAATGTAATGGCATTTATGGCATCGTTTGGGACCTTGGTAAGCGATTGTAGTTTTGCATTTTTGTATTTTATTTTACAATAAGTATAGTGCACAATATAAATGCTTATTGCATTCATTTCCTAGTAAATAATTATATTTATTTATTAAACAACCAAGATAATGCTTTTGCATTAATTAAAATAATTAATCCATGCACTATTATTACGTGCACTATTACATGCATTTAAATGTTTCGAGTTTTCATTCATAAGTATGCATTTTGTATGAGTTTTAATAAATGTGAAAAAGCATTTAGTTGTTAATTAATTAATTAAATTATTAACTAGTAAATAATTTATAAATACTGTATATTATTGGAATTAAAAATTATAATATTATATTATAGTATTATAAAATATTATTAGTTTTACAAATCAAATATTTATTTTGCATATACAGTGCGGCTCCCATAGGCTATGGTCGCACCGGTCATACAAAGCGAAACTCCCGCTACGGATAATACTAATGGTATTGCAAACACTGGCCTTCATTAGCGATATCCACGACTGGGCTCGCGATCATCGGCTGCACCACAAACACAGCGACACCGACGCCGACCCACACAACGCCCGCCGGGGTTTCCTATTCTCACACATTGGCTGGATTTTCTACCGCAAACACCCCGATGTTATAGCCAAGGGTAAAACCATCGACGTGTCTGACCTACTGGCCGACCCAGTGGTCAGTTTCCAACACAGGCATTACTTTGTGTTAGGCTTATTCATATGGGGTTTAGGGCCGGCGTTTGTGCCCTATTGGTTGTGGTCGGAGTCGTTGTGGTGCTCGTGGTTTGTGGCAGTTATGCTCCGCTATGTTATATCACTTCACACCAGTTTCCTCATTAACAGCGCCGCACATATGTATGGCATGAAGGTATTTATGCATGTTAACTAGTTATTCTTATTTATATTTT